TATAATGGTTGGGACGATCCTGAAGATGTTGACATACTGCAAACTTCCTGAAGCTTTGGTGCTTCACATCAGCGATGTGTTCTTTCATGTGGGGTTTATGGATCTGTTTGTTTGTCCTATGTAAAAGAGACCATATTCACAATCAAGTTTGTATACTCCTGCATAAAACACCTAATTCCCCCTGTGACCATATACGCTGGAAAGTGTCCGAAATATCGGGAATTAAAAAAGTTTAAATTAAATGTGATAAAATTTGTAAAATTAGTTTTATTCCAAGTGTAGTATAAGAAAAAATATAAGAAATCATTATAGTTTTGACTGTTTTCATCGGCCAAAATAAGTTTTTGACTGTAGCATAATACATTTTGTAACTAATGCCATATTAGTTATATTAAATTATAATTGTAAAGTATAAAAATAAGAATATTTTAATTTTATGTAACCCCATCTCAACACAACTTGCATCAACAAAACTCAACATGTCAAATGTGTACTCTGATGTCAAAGGATCAAGATTAATAAAGAAAAATTGTAATTTTGTTCTTAATTTTCTCAAAAACTATAAGTTGCCCAGTGAGAAAAGTAGATCTTTGAAAAGTTGTCATTTGAAAGTGCTTTCTTTGTTCAGTTAATACAAACCCTATATCCTATAGCCATTAATCCTTTTCGAAGCTGAAGTAATCAGAAAAAAGCTTCATATGAAACTGAAATGGAATTCAATCTAGTTGTAAGAAACATTCTAGAAAAAGGAAAAAAATACCAATACTTAATATATACGAACAAATTATCTTAGGTGCTGTTATTATGTTGACATGATTTTTTTATATTATAGAAGAGGGTTAAAAACAAGAACAGAGTCAACGTTATGATTAGTGGTTGCTGTGTCCCGTAAATATCTATTATCATCATCATCATTACAGTCCTTCAAAAGTCCACTGCTGAGCATAGGCCTCTCCCAAGGAATGCTACAAAGCACGATCCTGAGCCACCAGCATCCATCGACTTCCTGCATGTCTGACTAGGTCGTCACTCCATCTAGCAGGGCGACGTCCTTCACTTCGTCTGCTGGTACGAGGCCGCTACTCGAGAACCTTTTTTTCCCCATCGATTGTCAGTTCTTTGAGCTATATTATGGCCGGCCACAAGAACCAGAGTGACCGTCATAGCCCAACGGATTAGTAAGCTGAGGTGGCAATGGGCCAGCCATATAGATTCCTATATCTTTACTCATGTTTTTGATATGTTTTACATCAGTATTTATGCTGCAATAATGATGATGATGCATCAAAATTTGGTGAGCATTATACAACTGACTTCAGACATCCTTGATAAAAGGGACACTCATACATATTCGAATATCATTACGCTCCTCTTTGGGCAATCGGGTAAATACTAATAAATATTTATTCGAACATGAACTAAAGTACAAAATAATTTTATTAGGAGTTGTCCTATTTGACTTAAGTCTTGTCTTGTGTTACGAGTAAGGGCAGCAACTCATAAGCGGTAAAACCCCCACTGACGTATCGCACTAACTGTAAGTCTAATGCATAAATACTCAAATGCTACTCAATTTTGAGATGCCGTTAAGTCTTACGCTGTCTCTATCACTTTAAGTCAAAGTGACTGTGACACCACAAGACTTAACGACATCTTAAATTTGAGTAGCGTTTGAGTAATTGGCCATAAGTAGTGTAAAGTTAAATAATGTAAAGCTGCGCTGCTCCTGAGCCTGATTTCCCTCTGGTCGTGTCGGATTGCCGTTCCATCGGGCTATAAGAGTGAGGAATAGAGAGTGCACCTGTACTTACGCACACACTCATGCACTATAATCCTGTCCTGTGCAGATGGCTAATCTCCGTTGAGACTAGCCGTCGCCCGTCGTGACCGCAATTCGGTCTACTAGACATAATTATAAAGTGCTGCGCAGATAACTAGCTTAGGCCCGGAGAATTGCTGTTATTAGTCTGTTCGCCGTAGTAGTAATTCTTGTGTAAATCATATGTGTCACAGTTCTTTTAGACAGAGATGTTGCTGATTTTTTTTCTTTATCTTATTTTGTTATTTATCTTGTACTAGTTGTGACATGACATGACAGCTAGTTCAAGTATTTTATAATTGCAATAAAATATTTTATTTGATAGCAATGTATGGAAAAATTGGCATAATTAATAAAGTACTTTTATCTGTCGGCATATTATGTATGATGTAGATCGAAGTTAAGGTTTATCCACTTTCCCTCCCCCTCCCGTTTGAGCGTCCCCCCCCCCCTCACGTCCCAGAAAGTGTCCCGAAGCGCGGTTTTATCCAGTTTTAAAGAAAACCGTACACGATACATGAAAAAAAAAGTGTGTAGGCATGAAATGATTCGTGATAAATTTGCTATCAAACTCTTATACTTATTAATCAATAAAATTTTCAAAATACTATAGCAACATGAAGTGAAAGAGTTCAGAAATAAAGGTGTAACTAATCATTGCCATAAAAGTACTCAATTAATTTTTAATTTATTTTAGCTATAATGATTGAACTAATCTCACTCATAGAAGCTTTCATTCAATACTGGCTTCTCGCAGATCTCACCGGGCGGCTAAGGTTTATGCGTCGTTCGCGCGCCCAGCAAAAGTAAATTATTTTAATTTTACATTATCTCTTAAACTATGCGTCCAAATAACACGGTATAAGGAACAAAGTTTATCTTCATAAAATTTTCTTGATGATGAAGTAACTTTCGTTCGTAAGGATAAATAAACCATGCCTAATAATAACGCTCATAAATCTCTTTTTAATTTTCAATATTTTTTTGTCACAAACTACCTAATTATGGCTTGTGTATAAGAAATAGACATATGGTATCGCGGACTTTTTTTAGACGGAGTAAAGATCTATATTTTTGTACAACATTGTATAGGGTGGATGCCCCTAATACCAGCCATGCCCCTAATTCCAGCCTTTTCGCCTTTTTACTTCGTAAATAAGATTTCTATTAGTCTTAACTACAAATATTGTCACCTAAAAAATTCTTCGTAACTAGAGGAAAGTATATTTCAAATATTACCTCACCGTTTTAAACCTAAGTTTTAAATTAAAAATCAAAACACGTACGCGACGAAAAACGCTAATTTTCCTAATGTCTTGACAAGTAATGATCCCGGTAAAATTATGCTTACTTTACATTATCTCATATATAGGCTTTTTGATTTGTATGAATATGACTATAGAAATAGTAATGCAGTTATTTTTGTTAAAATTTACAAGTTATTTATTTTCTTTTAGTGCAAATTAATGGGGCTGTAATTCGATATACGAAATGTATGGAGTGCATAATGTCAGCCGCCCGGCTGTTATTTGGTTTGACGTACCTATTGAGAAGTATCTAATTTCAGCTACGTAATATAAATCAGGGCTGTCATAAACTGGAATAAGTATCATTAATTAGATCATAACTTATTTTATAGTTAAGGGAGTTATGATCTATTCCTCTCAAATTGGTTTTAGATTTTAAAGTTTAGCAAAAGATGTAGTAGCTTTTCTATCTGACATTTGGTGTATATTAAGAACAGCTTATGTATTCAATTATTATTTGAGAAAGAAGATAAAACAAGGATTAAATATAGTATATACTAGCTTTTCCCCACGACTTCACCCGCGTGTAATTTAGGGTTGAGTTGCGCGGAACCCTAATTCTTTTTCTGAAATATAATTAGCCTAAGTTACTCCTTATAATATCAGCTATCTTTGAGTGAAAGTCCCGTCAAAATCCGTCCAGCCGTTTCGGAGATTAGCCGGAACAAACAGACAGACAGACAAAATTGTGTTATTGTTTTAGGTACCGTATATACTTTCATATGCATTTAGTAAACAGCTGTTATTTTGACATTACAAACAGACGCTTCAATTTTCTTTATTTGTATAGATAAGCAAAAACTATAACTTAGTAATACTAATTACAACTTAGGACATAACTGAAAAACTCATGATAAGTAAAGTGGTTTAGGACCAGGCTTTGCGGCAGTATATGGAGGAGGATGTTCCGTAGTGGACTTGTGTAAGGTTATAATGACGATGATTATTTGAAAACTTGGATGATTAAATTATCAGAAATCCATATACTACATAATATTTTATCATAATTTGTTTTAATTTATTGAACTGCTTTAAACTAAAACACGTAAGTTAAGAAGTAAAACATTAAAATAAAATAATGTTGTCGTCTGCCTTAATAATATCCCATGCTTGTCACATGCAGATTCAAAATTAAAAGTTACCTACAATAGGTACTTACCAAAAACTTAAAAGGCACAACCCTATGCTATGCTGGCATTAAGTATATACACAAAAGGACGATATTCGGTACAGGGTGGCTGGCATTTGGGCCATAACGCCTTTTATTGCTTATCGTCGTTTTTAAAATTGTTCTTGAAATAATATGATTGTAAATAAATGTTCATTACATTTTTAGATAAATCGATTAAAACAAATGTTTAAAAATATTGTGCCCTAATTAAAATAGCAGGAATTTTTAAAGTTGTAATTGGCACTAAAAGGCTGGTAATAGGGGCATCCACCCTATACCTACGTATCCCTAACGATAACACCAGCGTACCTACGCGGATAAATCATTTTGGGAGTGCTTTTTCTTCTAACTTGCTTAACAAATATCCATATTTAAGGCTAGCTGAGTGATTTAGCTTAATGCTAGATAGCCTATACTATTCCACATGAATCTGGCTATAATATACAAAAAGAATTTTTCAAATCGGACTGGTAGTTCCAGAGATTAGCGCGTTTAAACAAACAAAAAAACAAAAAAAAACTCTTCTGCTTTATTATATTATAAGTATAGATTAAGTATAGATTTACTTCTAATACGTTTCATAAATATTTACAATAACGCAGTCGTTAGTCGTTATCTTGAAAGGTTTATTTATTTAAATAGTTTTGAGAGTATTATTTACACTTGCTAGTGTCTAATAGTTTTTTCTTGTATTTAATTAGGTATGGAGTGGGAAGGGCCGCCCAAGCAAGGCTTGTACGACCCTCAGAACGAGCACGAAGCCTGTGGCGTTGGTTTTGTTGTTGCTATTGATGGGAAACGCAGTCATAAGGTGAGTTAATTAATTTAGTTGTGTAGAAACTAAACTAGTGGCGTTTAGCGACAGCGGGGTGTCGTACAAAGAGGGGACTGTTGAAAATGCCAGAAAAATTTAACGGTTTTTTGGGACCAACCTTTAGGTACCTACCCCCTTTCTAACAAAAATGAATCATTGAAATCTGAAAATATGGTTAACCTTCAAGCGGGTGCGCGGTCATTTGTAACGGCAGCGGTCGCGCGTAATCTAAAATACCTATGAGACATGCGAGGGATTTAAAAAACTAATTAATTAATATTCATTAATTTTATTGTACTCACACACATAATCATTATGTAAGGACACAATTTGTCGAAAAAAAAAACTTAAAATAATGTTAAAATTGGATAAAAACTTCGTCTCAATCTTCTTCGTCTTCGATTGCCTTCTTTTTTGCTGGACATATTGCAGCTTGATCTCCATTGCTTGTTTTATTATCAGTGTCTTCAACACTCATATTGAAATGCTTTCTTATGTTTCTTTTGACTTTTTTTGAAAGGTTTATCATCATAACTCTTCTTTGAACATACTTTTTTGTTAGTTCAATTCCTAATTCACGTAAATGCTTTCGTCTTTTCTGTATAAGGAGTGATTTAGACGATACAATTTTCTTGTACATTCAAGTGCAATTATTGAATGCAATAAATTAAGTGCGTTAATTGCCCTTCAAGAATTGTACGTAACTGTTTACACGTGGATACAAGTAAAAAAATTGAACGCAATTATTGAATGCAAGTCTTGACAAAAAATAGTTGCAAATGTCTTCTGTTTAGACTAATACAATAATGTTTAGGAGATAATTGCTTTCAAGTTTTGACTTGTCTAAATAGAGAGTTGTATGTGCGTGTACCATTTATTGGCGGGTTGCTTCAAGTATTGCACGTATTTGCGTTGTCAAATTTTTCATTCAAGTGTTGGAAGGTTTTGTAAGAGTTTATTAAAAAATATGAGTCAAAAAGTGTTAAAATTTGGTTCTGCTGACTTAATAAAGTTTATTGAGATTTATCGCAGTCATGAGTGTTTGTGGGACACTGAAAATGTGAATTACAAGAATCGTGATGCACGTAGTGCTGCACTTGTAGCATTTTCACAAGAATTTGGAGTTGATGGTTTGGGACCTAAGGAAATTACAAGCAAAATAAAAAACTTAAGAACGCAGTATCAAGCGGAAAGGAAAAAGATAAAAGATTCAATGAGCACTGGTTCCGGTACTGCTGATATTTACAAGTCCAAACTCTCTTGGTATAATTTAATGGATTCTTTTTTAAGGAAAACTTCTGAACACAGAGAAACAACATCAAATATGGTAAGTATGTATTTATGTAAATTTTCTAAAGTACAGTCAAGTGCATAATATTATAAATGTGAAACTTTATTTTCATTAAAAAATGGCACTGTCTTGCCAAGGTACAGCACCATCATTGTTAAAGTAATGACAATAATTATCACGGATTCTTATAGCTTCCCTTGTACTATTCCTGTTGTTCTGTGATGTTATATTTTCAAAAGCTCCGCCTGAAGCATTTTGTCTCCAAGTACCAAGACGAAGACCACTTCTTTGACATTCTTCGTCTATAAAACCTGGTGGGGTGTAAGACGTAGGTGAAGTTTTCCTAAGCCAGTTGTGTAAAGCACATGATGTTTTCACTATGACATCTACCTTGTCTATACTTGTAGTGATTGACTTTTCGAAAATTCGAAATCGAGATGTTAAAACTCCGAAAGCATTTTCAACGATTCTCCTACATCTACACAATCTGTAGTTATAGATTTTTTGTTCTCTACTTAAATCGTTACGGCGAGGATATGGTTTCATCAAATAAGGTTTTAAAGGAAACGCTTCATCTCCGACAAGTACTGCATTACTTGGCAAATTTATGGTATTCTCTTCAATAGCCTTCTTTAAAGTACAATTATTAAATATTCCACCATCAGAGTTTCTACCTTTTGCTCCCACGTCAATGTATGTGAAACAATAGTCGTGATCAACACAAGCTAGTAACACAATACTAAATGTACTTTTATAATTAAAAAAGTCTGATTCTGTGCCAGGGGGACATTTTACGTTTATATGCTTTCCATCAATGGCACCAAAGCAGTTGGGAAAATTCCATCTTATAAAAAAGCCCCTTATTGTTTGATTCCATTCCTCTTTAGATCTTGGCACCTGTAAAATAATGAAATAAATGTATGTTTTTAGAATGATACGTCCCTGGCATCACAAGAAATAGTTTTTGAATATTTTGAAAATGAAAATACGGAAAATATTGAAAATGTTATAAATTCAAATATACAAGTCGTCGATGATGTGCTTCCGTTTCCAATGCCTAAAAAAACAACTAAAAAAGCAGGTTACATAGAATCGGCCTTAGATAAACTGGACAATATTGAAAAAAGAGCAAGACTTGAAAAAAAAGACGATGATTTGGACAATTTCGGAAAATATGTTGCGTATTCATTGCGAATTTTGAATACCGAAAATAGCATACATGCTCAGGACGAAATACAAGCAATATTATCAAAATATAAACTGCAAGATCTTCGAGAAAAAGAACGACAAAACTCTACTCCAATGCCAGAATCCCCGTATTCGAAACAAGGCAGCGAAGACACATGGTTGAACATGTAATTTTTTTTCTATTTTAATTAAATATCTGATTCCGTAGTTTATATTTTGATAATAAATAAATATTGCTTATTTTTCGTTCTGAGCATAAATAGTAATTAACAATTTCTAATTATTTTGCTGAAAATATATGATTCTATTATAAAAACTGTTTTATTTCGAACTCACCTTTATAAAATCTTCTAATACAGAGTAAATAGCTTCAAGAACTTCGACCAAGAATGTACTTATAGTACACCTAGGTACTCTAAATAATTGTGACAGTGTACCAAACGAATCTCCAGTTGCCAAATATTTTAATGCTATTTCTAGTTTTGTTCGAGCAGGAATAGCATTACGCATTGTTGTATTTTGCCTTTGTATAGAAGAACCAATTTTATCTAATAAATAATAAAACTGGGTTCTGTTGACACGAAACATGTTCTTAAAGTCATCTTCATTTTCTATTTGTAATTCAACATAAAGATTGTTAGACGCTCCAAGAACTCCTCTTCTTGCTATCCATTTTTTGATCCAACACCTCTTTTTACGACGATTTCTCAATATTTCTTGTCTCAGAAGAGCAGCAACGATTAACACACCTTCACTTACTGCACTCATGTTGGCAAATAAAGAGAAAACTAATTGAATGCAAGAATCGCCTAAGAAATTTTTGTATGTGCTGTTTACACCAAGAAAATTTTGGCAAACAAAACTTGCGCAAAAGATCAAAATGTTACGTACTGTTTAGACCATGCAGGTAATTTATTGCTTCAATTTTATTGTATGCAACAGGCAAGAAACTTGCATCATGTAAATGAGCCTTAACCACTTTATTTGTCCTCAATATTGCCATGGCATTAAATCCAGCAATATCCAGAAGACGAAAGAAGAGTGGCAATGACCAGCTATTATTATTTCTTGATGTCGAATACATCATCACATTTCATCGACTTCACAAGTATGATGCTTGGCTTGCGATTTTATGATTCACTCTATTCGTCTCATCGTTTCATTTGCACTGTTGTGTGTATTTAAAAAAAAAACATTAGTACAATCATAATTCGATGATATTTGTTGATATTTCCAAAAAAAAACCTCTGGTTGAGCGCCGCACGTAGCCTTTTCGACGACATGCGCGTGGCGTGCTTTCGATGCCTCTGCCCAGTGTTGCCAACTGCTAGCTTTACCCAGTTGCTAGACATTATTGAAAATGTTGCTAGATTGCCAGCATTTTTTACCCCAAAAAGTTGCTAGAAGTAGGTAAATGTTACAGTACGTAGGTAGATTACAATAAAATGTCAATTTCTGACAATCATTTTTAATTTCCAACAAGAGAGTTAAAAATGTCTTGTGTACAGTCACGAGCAATAATATGTAAACAACATAGGACTATATTATATTATATTTATTGTCGACTTTTGTGGCACAAATTTGTTTTGTTTCGGAACGCTCGTGACTGTACGTTATTGAATTAAAAAAAATAAGTTTAAAATTAATCAATCAAAGAAGATGTCGATATTTGGGGTTCAGTGTTTTTCGTCGTTAATTCCGAATCAGCCGTGCCCATTTTATACAGTATATCTTTAGACAAAACACGGTTACAGCAGCATTTACCACTTTTCCTGAGGGAGTCACTAATGCAGAGGATTGAGTTCAGAGTTATGAAACAACCAACCATTTCGTCCATATTTTTCCACTTCGGTCTATATTTCTGTGTATACGCTATTTTTTCGAAGATAAATCAAATAAAATTAGCTTATGAGGATAAAACAAAACAGCACAAGGTGGAATACGAGTAGCGTGTACTATTTTGGTTAGTGGCAGGTTAGTGAGTAATATGTCATAACGTAGCAAGAAACGGGAAATTCCCGGCCAACATCGACCGAAACCTACATAGCATCTATGACCATAGATTCGCGTTTAGTTTTTATTTTTTCTTTCGAGACTCCGTACCCTACTCTACGAATCTCGATAGCCTCACGTCTCATGATGAAATTAAAAGTTGCTAGAAAAAGTAGCTAAAAAGTTTAGCTACAAATTTCATTAAATTGTAGCTGTCTGTCACCAAGAAATAGCTATATCTAGCTATAAAGTTGCTAAGTTGGCATCACTGCCTCTGCCGCGATGTAAACAAATGCGATCTGTGCGTTTCGTAGGGCGCGGGGAAGGGTGGTAAATTGTTTATTTCGTGCATAGTAAAACAATGACAGGCTAATAGGGATGGGAAAAGCATGCGACGAGAAAAACAATATTATGAACGAAAATGTATCGAGTGCGGTCGATTTGACGCCCCGCGACCGCTTGAAGGTTAAGAATCGCTGAATATACATGAAAAATATTCTGACCAATTGAGAACTTCTGCTTTTTTTTTGAAGTCGAGATATCAGCTCTACTTAAATTTTCGTTTGAAATTCTGCAACGGCGACATTTTACGATGTATGATGCCAATGCCAATGCCAAATATTATGATATCAATAGGTATCGCACATTCTTCGGTACATTTATTCCCGTGGGTGTTAAAGTATTTGGAATCTAATCATTTCAAAACTTGCCACTAACAAAATATTACTATACACCGGAAGCTCTGTTTACGGCGCGACCGGTTGCAAAGCGATTAGACAGTAGATTAGAGAACTTGGACGATGAAGATAAAATTTAAGACTTATTAAAATCTCTTGAACTCCATCATCTCATCACTTATCGGGATAAAAACTATCCTATCTCTCAAGTTGAACCAAACTTCACACAGTGTACAAAATTTCATTTAATTCAGTTCAGTAGTTTAGGAGTTCATCGCGGGCAAACAATGTGACAAGTAATTTTTATAAGATTTGACAGCTCGGTAGACAGACACAGCCGAAGCGTAGTGCGATCACGCACGAAACAAGTGTTTGTATAAAGCCAACAAATAAAAATATGTATGTGTATGTAGTGAAACGTCTCCAGGATAGAGGAGAATATCCTAGTGTGGGGATAACGTTATTTTAATAATAATTTTAACCTTTCGAACTACGTTCTGTTCACTCAATAAAATCATATCAAAAATTTGCGTCAAATAGTTATAGCGATATGTTGACTTAACCCTCATTCTGTGCCTCGTAGAAATGTCATAGGGACTTTATATATATAAGGTAATGCGACTGACATTGAAGCTATCTTCGTTTTGCACAATAGAGCCATAAGAGCAATTTATAACCTAGTACCAAAGGAGTCTCTTAGAGAAAAAAAAAAATTAACTTTGGCCCATCAGTATATTTTAGTAAAAAATGATGTATGTACAGAAAAACAAAAATAGTTTTATTAAAAATAGTGATATACATTCTGTAAATACTAGGAACACACTAGTTATACCTGTTACTCGACTCCTAGGGGTCAGTATTTTCTTATATTATATTCCTTCATGGTTCAACGTATACGCTTTTACAACAAAGTTCCAGAAAATATGCAGGACCTATCTAAACATATGTTTAAAATTTTTATTTAGCGAAAATTGTTTATTAAGGGTTTATTATACTACTCTTTGGATGAGTTTACCCTTTTCATACTAATTTAAAAAAATCCTGGTGGGTTTCTTGTTGGTTTTTTTTTATTTTTTTTTAAACCGAGCATGCGGCTCACCTGATGGTAAGTGACTACCGCCGCCCATGAACAACTGCAACACCAGGGGAACCAGGAGAATTGCAGATGCGTTGTGCCGGCCTTTTAAAACGGAGTAGGCTCTTTTCTTGAAGGTTCCTAAGTCTGGTTCTTCCCAGGACAGAATTTTTTCCCGAACCAGTGGTAAAGCTGAAATTACTTTTAAAAAAATTAAGATTGTATTACATTCTGTTCTGTTGTCCAGATCGTGCGCGATGCCGAGGTGTTGGCTAAGCGTATGGAGCACCGCGGCGCGTGCGCCTGCGACAACGACACCGGCGACGGCGCTGGTGTGCTCACCGCCATCCCCCATCAGTTCTACTGCGCGCAGCTGAGGTATGCTCTATTTAACGATCACATGAACGACCTACTATTTACGTCAAGGTTTTTGTATTTACAGCTTGATTCTATTCTAAGAATTATGCATGCACTAATTTTCTGAATCGATACAAAGTCGATTCGAACGAAGTACGTTACGCATGACTATGAAAATGTTAAATATTAAACAACTGTTACCTTAGTTACCATTATTTTAGGTACAATAATTGTAAACTATATTTTTTTTACATTTACCGTCATATCCTATCAAAAGTCCACTGTTGAAAATATGTCTCCCACATAGAGATTGCCTTATAGGCGAGAAATTTACCACTCTTGGGACGATTACACGTTTTTTTTTAAAATTTAGGTCAGTATAAATACAGAGGTAGTAAGTACCGAACGCTAAGCTTCCCCTTAATTTTTTTAAATTTCTAAACGTGTTGCAAAGCATCCTGTCGCTGAATGATTTTATTAAATTTAAATATTCACTACTATGTCAGTATACTATCTTGTAAATAAGCACCTATGGTGTGAGCAAATCTCTTAAGTTGTTCGTGCCATTGCATATTTTCATAAAGATATAAATCCAGCAGTGGATTACTTATCATAATAATAGTAATTTCATTGACCAGAACCATTTTGCTTTAATAACGCAGGATTGTGTATAAACTAAAAAAAAAACTGCCCAAAATGAAACCGTCTCGCTATTTCGAGTTACGTAAATATTGATTTTCCTAATTCTCAACGTTAGCCCCACCGCGTAATTAGCACAAAACGTAATGGAAAATTAAAGCGTTGCGTGCCCACCGGTCATAATGTATAGTTACGAGCGAAAAATGTGATAAACAAGGCGCTGTACCAACGCCAACTATGGTAGCCATATCACAATGCCTAACCTAAATGTACACACACACTCTTCACCATCCAGTGTCTATGCGGAATTAAAACATCGAATTAATATAGTATTTAAATGCAACAGCCGGTCCCAATTCCGATCTTGGAAATATATCAGGATAGGGTTAATTGTTAAAAATAGTAAGTGTGAGAGCGGGTGTTCAACTTGTTCTCTTGCTTACGCAATTAATCATTATCTATACAAATAAATAAAATTGAGGTGTCTGTTTGTAAAGTTAAAATTACAGCGTTTTACTAAATGCATTATGAAAGTATAAACGGTAGTTATAACCAAAATACACTTTAAAATTTTTGTCTGTCTGTCTGTTTGTTCCGGCTAATCTCCGAAACGGCTGGACCGATTTTGACGGGACTTTCACTGGTAGATAGCTGATGTCAAATGAAGTAACTTAGGCTACTTTTATTTTAGAAAAATAATTAGCGCCCCTCGCAAAAAACTTTAAAATCTTAAATTACACGCGGACGAAGTCGCGAGAAACAGCTAGTCAGTAATAAGATATTCGATAAGCGTAATGCACTATTTCGGTTTATATTCGGTACAGTTCGAGCACACCGTAATACGGGACATATTCCACACTGTCACAATTACACTCTGGTGTAACGTGAAGTATATGCAAACCAACAGCACCACTACCCATCCCAGTGTAACACAGGGCAGCCTCTCAGCAACATCATACATACTCCTTGTCTGTTCCAGAAGAACCACCACAACGGATAAAACCACAACTCTATCTTATCACTCGTAGAATGATTTAATAGGAGAGTCATTGCAATACACACACTACCTATATTCTGTGATGTAAGTAGGGTTGCCATCTTTTTTTGAACAAATATAGTATTTTTCCTAATAAAAGATGCAAAAATATAGTACTTTTGGGAAAATCCGGAGAAACAGTACAATTTTTAATCTTCATGTACATTTTCATATATATTTGTTATTGCTCTTCGCTTTGGCCATCAATATTAACCTTTAAAATTATTATAGGAATAAGAGCAATTTATATTCATATTAAAATAAATTAACAATTCATTTGTAATTAAATTAATACCTACACGTTCTATTTCTTTATTCTGCTCATTTTATATTCATGTCGGAAAAAATTCTTTCCGTAAAACTTATTGTTCCAAACTTCCAGTCACAGTTAATACAAGAAAGCCCGATAGTTGAATTAGGGATAAAAATATAGTATTTTTCGTACTATATTATTTTTACAATTCTATATATATTATTTGTACAATTGATTCAAATATAGTGCGATACCATATATTATATTACGGGTGGCAACCCTAGATGTAAGTGCGATTAGCCTAGGGTTGCCAACCCCAAATTTAAAACACTAGGATTTGAAGTTGGAAAAACTAGGACAATTCAGTTTAAAAACAGGACGCAGTAAAGGCCTTGTCAAACATAACTGCGAACCGAACCGAACCGACAATATGGCAAATGTATGTACTATGTATGCAAGTATCGGTTCGTTTTTGCTTTTTTCATATAACAATATCAGATAAAAATTTTCAGATAAAAATGATCCCATACATAAAAAAATAAAAACGCCGTGAGGCCGGCCGTAACGTAAGAATTGTAAAAGGGGCGCGCGAATTTTATAATACATGATCTTATCAGGGCGCTTTAAAAACCCAGGTCGCTGCTTAAAATTATCCAGGACATCCCAGGACACTACTAAAACTAGGACATGTCCTGGGAAAACAGGACGGTTGGCAACCCTAGTTATCCAACTTGCTAAATCTGAATGAGTGCATGGCCTGCGAGGCTGTCTCCAAAAGCAAAAAGTTGTACATTGCTAATCAGGTGTTACTTTTCGAAAATACATTTTATTGTATAAAATATGTTTTTTTTTAAAACTAACCCTGGCCTCGCCTGTATGGTATCTATTAATGTCATTTATGTCATCACTCATCATTTAGATTTAAGATTATCATTAAATCTATCAAAAGAAGCCATAATTTAAAAGAAGAAGAAGAAGATTATCATTATAAACGCCATATTATCAATTTTTCTATTTCACAAAAAAAAAATACCAAGATTTTCGTATAAAATATATCCCTCATGACATTGCCCTCTATCTGTTTGTGAAGTTTCATCAAATCAGGTCAGCCATTCCGAAGACCGGACTAACAGGCAAACAGACAATAGATATTAAAATGGTTATTCGCTATTACAGACAGATGATTCAATTTTATTAATATGTAAAGATATAACATTGATTTGAGCCCACAGATCTAAGTATATATCGCCTTACAAGTTTCTTACCTAAACCAATCAAATTTCACGTTCTTTCATATTGCGAAGCCGTTCGATATTGACTGTAACTGGATTTAGAACACTAAATCTAGATCAACGCCAAGGCGAATTACTGATCGCTTAGTGAATTTTAATTTTCTTGCTATAAATGCGTGCAATCTGTGTTCGATCGTAAACATTCCAAAGAAACATGCACGTCTATCTTCTATATCTATCTATATCTATACTTATAATAAATCTGTAGAAAGGTCAATTCTGTACATGAAATATATTTCCAAAATAACTATCAGGGGGTGATTAGTGATCGATACTGATGTAAAACTTTGGCCGTCTGTCTGTCTGTCTGTATGTTCGTTATAGAAACAAAAACTACTCAACGGATTTTAACGAAACTTGGTACAATCATTCTTCATACTCCCGGGCAGGTTATAGTATACTTTTCATCACGCTACAATCAATAGGAGCAGAGCAGTGAAGGTAAATGTTGGGGAAACGGGAGAAATTACTCCATTTTTTAAGCTTCCGTCGCGTGTGCAGCCTTAATGGTTAAAGCTACACAGAAATCATGTATAACGGAAATTTTCTCCTTAAAATTATATAAAAAATATCCCACGACAGCATATCAGCGAGACTTTTAGTCTACTCTTACGTTTAATAATTTATTTTTAAATTTCTTTGGTTGTTATTTTATAAAATAGGTATTAGTTATTTTGGTAGTGTTTAAATATTTCTTAATATTAGCTTAATTATAAATTAAACTTTTTTTTTATTTAATTGTAGTTTTAAATAGGTACCTAGGTATCAAATAGGTTATTTCATTCTATTAGACGTAGTTTAGGTACCTACTTATATATTTTTAGGCAGAGGCAGAGGAAAGAGCACATCGGTTAAACTCTATGAGAGTTAGTGCCTCAACTTCTCGAGCCAATGAAAGCTCTCCAGAAAAAGAGATGCGATTAACAGCTGACAGAGCGAGACGAGCTACATCACGGGCGTCTCAAAGTTCTTCTCAACGAGAGCTAAGGCTTACCATAGACCGAGAACAACATGTGTTATCCCGAGAAGCTGAAACTGCTTCACAACGAGAATTGCGGCTCACAGCTGACCGCGAATGGCATACATTATCTCGCGAGTCCGAAACCTTCACTGAGAGGGAATTACGTCTCACAGCTGATCGCGAACGGCATGTACTATCCCGTGAGTCCGAAACCTACACTGAGAGGGAATTACGTCTCACAGCTGACCGCGTACGGCATACATTATCTCGCGACTCCGAAACCTACACTGAGAGGGAATTACGTCTCACAGCTGATCGCGAACGTCATATTTTATCTCGAGAATCTGAAACTTTTACTCAATATGAAGACCGTTTAACAAATGATAGGGTGCACCATAATATTATTCGATCTCTTGAAGATGAACATGAGCATGAACAACGACTAGAGTCGGGACGCGAATATTACAATTCTTTGAGACAAGAACGATTAATAAGTATGTCTAATGAAAGATTAAGAATTGAAAATTTTCGGTCTGTTGAAACGGACGAACAGCGAGAGGCCCGTCTTACTGCAGACAGATTTCGCCATAGTCTTAATGACTTAGATGTACACATAGAAGATCAATCTACAAATTCGGTGGCGTGGTCCGACAAATATAAAAGTGGGTTTGCTTATAACCTCACAATTGATTACAGATCATCTTCTGTAATAGGCGATATGAACGCAGTATGTTCTTTTTGTAATGCTTCAAAGTGGAGTAAGGAGTCGGCTGGTTTCTGTTGTTCTGGAGGTAAAATAAATTTGGCTTCGTTCAAAGATCCACCGGAACCTTTGAAGTC